ATCCGAATGGTTGAAACACATACACAGAGTATGTGCTGGTGCCGGGAAGCTAGTCCAAAGTCTCAACATTCCTTGAAGCACTCTTTCTGGCCTCATACCATTTCCGTGAATGGTTGAGAGAGGTGTGCTCAGGTCCAAGATTCTTGGACTCTACTGCAATTAGACCCTGCTGAACAGCATTTGAACACAGCTGGAACACTTAGAGCAAAACCTCTGGCATCAGTATTGTAAGTGATGATGATTAGGATGAGCAGCCACATCTGAGGCCCAGTGGAGAGGAAAGCCCAGGAGCTTTCCTCCTCTGGAACCGGCTCTGCTCGCCGTGTGGCTTCAGGTAAGTGTCTTGGAGTCTGCCAGACTGGCGGCCTTCACCTGTGGAGTAGGAGGAGCAATTCTCCCTTCCTAGGCAGTTGTGAGGATTACAGTTAATGGTGTAAAAGTGCCCCAGGCATCAGTGGGGCTAGCAGCAGGGAGACATTATTATTTGTAATTTTAGTGATTAAGAAATGGAGAGACACTGAGGCAGCCTGTGCACGCACCTGTAAAAAAAAGAGACTGTTGAAGCCAGAAGTTGAAGGTCCCTTTGAGACTTTGCCATCAAACTGCTGCCATCAAGTTTGGCGAAGTGGCCCTGAGTCACCCTAAAAGACAAGCCTTACATACCAGGCACATCTCCCAACACCTGAACCACGCGCAACAAAACAGGGCACCCAGCTCCTGACTCATTCTCTTCCCGTACAGCCCACTGTTCAGATACTCTTCTTTCTGCAGGCATGGCTTACAATCTCTTATCTGTTTCTGTCACCAGCTCTATCTGTTTTTGTCATCTTGGGCAATGCTGCAGGCAGATCAGGGCCTCAGGGTTTTGGGACCCCCAAGGAGGTGCTGAGGAATTGGATTTTGCAGTCCTGGCACTACTGACATTTGGGCTGATTCTTTCTTCTGGGGCCTATCCCACGAGTTGTAGGATAGTCTATCCACTAAGTGCTAGCTGCACCCCCTAGATATGACATCAAAAATGTCTCTAGGTGCTACCTACCATGCTGGCCTGAAAGGTGGGGACAGTGGGGCTTGCCCTCCACCCTCCACTCTTCCTCCTGTCATGGAGAACCACTGATGTGGACAAACGTCCTTCTCAGGAAGCAGAAAGGAGGAGTGGTGTCCCCCTACCCCCTTTCTTCCTAGGCAACAGCTCTTCTTGCCTGCTCCTGGGTGGGACATGCAGAGCGCAGAAGTGGTGCTAGTGGGTGGGGCATGATACAAAATAATACATAATATATGATAATATAAAATAATATAAAAATGAGTTCAGTGCTATTCACACAACCGTGTGCAGAGGGGAAAAATGCGGCTGTAGACACACCAAAACGTCAGTGTGGTTATGGAAGCTGGGATTTCTGGTGACTCTCTCCGTTTGCGTGCTACTCTTACATGTTTTCTCATTTTTGCACCTTGAAAATACAGTGAATTTATAGCAAGAAAAGCAGAAGTCATTCAAAAAAGTTTTAAAAGTACACACTTGAGAAGGCACATAAAACTCAAGTTGCCAGGAACACCACTATTTCCGTTCTGTCACCTACTGTGGGGAAGGTGTCCCTCTGTGTTGAGGTGCCAGAGTTTGGAGAAGGGAACAGGGTGTAAGTAAGGAATTCCAAGGGTGTCGCCTGCAACCCCAGGAGGGACGCCGGGCAGGGCAGGACTCCCACTGGACAGCCGCGCCCAGAGCAGACCGGGGGCCCCAGGACCCATGTCCTGCCAAGGCACAGGGTGGCTCACGCAGCGCACAGGGGATCAGGCTGTCGCTCCGCAGCTAAAGGCAGCCCAGCCGAAGTGCGCGGCACAGCTGACCACGGTACCTGTGATCACACCTCTCGGACACGTGGGTGGGCCAGGGTTGCTTTGCTTCTGATGGTGACGAACGGCTTCGGCGTTTCCAGGAGCTTTTAGTGACCTTGGTGCTGGGGAGAGGGACCAAAAACAAAAAGTAAAACGCAGACACGTGCGGCGGGATCGGGCGGTGGCGAGTGTCCTCTCAGTGTCGGAAAGGGACACTCTCACTGGTGGCTGGAGTTGCGGGTCTCGGACAGCGCCCCCTACCGGGTCGTCACGACCACGTCGTCTCCGCGGGGTGTCGGCAGCCACCCGCCGGCGCGCACAGT